CCCCCCCCCCCCTCCAGCGCCAGTTCTTCTTATTTCATTTAACGCATCTATGGATGCTAATCAACATTCAACAGTCATCACTGTGCCAACTTTCTACGAACCACCGTTTTGGCACCATGCACAGTTTAAGTTTCGATAACTCCTTGAATAAAATGAAGGTAGTGTGGCGATATTGAGTCACCGCGCGTTTCGCGGTACATTGAGAGCAGCACCCACTATCACCGAGGGGCAGTCATATCTTTAATTCCGCACGCCTTTTCTTTTTACCATCCAAAGCGGTTTCTTCCTCTCCCCCTCTCTCATCCTAATCGCTGCGTTTTCCCTTGAATACTTTCAGCCGGCTTTTCCTGGAATTATCGAAATAATCGCGGATAGCGCGAAAACAATAGCTCGTAGAAAGGACGACGGACCGGTCTTATGGGAAAAATGGGCCCGGTTAAAGCGGCTGGTGTATTGATATGTTGTAGGTCTTAACCTACTGATCAAACGTGTCAATGGACGTTTCTTCCTATCTCGAAGTTTTACCCCCCATTTTGGGGGTCAAAGTTGCCAATTCGGTGTATAATTGGTAATTTTGACACGAGCGACAGCTAATGGTGCAGATGATCCCTACGGCTGAGACTATATGTATAACGTCGGTTGATTTCAGAAATATATCATCTAGGTGATTTTTTCGCGAAGTGCCTTCCTTGCCTTTCTGCACATTCTGCAAAAGTGTTAAATACTCAAAAATAATGCGCGATTTCATTTAAAAAATCACCTAGATGATATATTTCTGAAATCAACCGACGTTATATAGTCTCAGCCGTAAGGATCATCTGCACCATTAGCTGTCGCTTATAGAAATATTGGGCTCAGTCGGAAATGCGTGTCAGCTAAAAATGACCCTTGGAATTATGTATGAGTGCTGGTGGTGGTAAAAAGTGCCACTATACTAGTGTCAGTGCCACACTGACCTATGCTGAGAGATCCTATTGTGGCAGAGGGTGCGGATTGAGAAGCCTCCTTTCTCATACAGTATATTCCGTGCTCCATCTCAGTCGACCATTCGAAATGCAGTCTGCTTCATTGTGATAAAAGTCTCCAAAACATGACAAAACCATCGGTTTGATGCAACTCGCGAAAGCTAGTTTCGCTGCCCGAGTTCGGTCGGCTCTTCGGCCCAGTTTCCGCTCCCCCCCCCCCCCCCCCCCCCCCCC